CGGGCTCTTGGGCAGCCCCAGCTGTGCACAGCCCCATCCCCGCCTCACTGCACGCTGGCTCCCGGCCAGGCTCAGCTCTGCGTCTGACGCGTGTCGCTCTCCCCGTCACCGCAGAGCCTCGTGAAGGACCATCAGCAGCCAGCCCCCGGCTGTGAGGCTCCGGGAGGTGCAGGTCTGGTGGGACGAGAGAGCGTGATGTCAGTGCTGGCCGCCTGCCAGAAGCAGCTGGCATCTGAGCTCCTCCTGGTGAGGGACGAGGTGCTCCTGAGCAGAGAGAACAGCCGTGGTCGGCTGCGGCGGGACAAGGTACTTGGTGCAGCCCCAGGAGGGGCCCGCAGAGCCGGGCTGGTCCATCCCTCTGGTCGGAAGTGTGGTCACAGACGGAGCTAGGTGCCCTCCAGACTACTGCGTGATGCTCTAGCATGGCCTATCCCTACACGGTTTGCAGTCTACACGTGTCGTTTAAAACCTCTAGGAGGCACATATTTATCGTGGTCGAATCAGCTTTTAAAACGTGAGCGGCCACTCACTTTTCCCTTCTAACGAACAGGCCCTCAATGTGCTGCAGGCTCGCCCTGGATTTTCTCTGTGAGGACGGAGCTGCCTGCGGCCTCCCCCACGTGCAGGGCCTCCATCACCTACATCTGGTTTTCTTCTAAAGACTTTAGGACTATTCTTGAACCCTAGGTTTTTCTCATACACGTGTTGACTCCTGCTCCGAGGAAAAAGCAGAGTCATGAATTCAGAGTGTTTGACCCCCTGACATCAGAGCAGGAGCCGTGTCGGTGACTGCGGGACAAGGCTGACGTGGCGGTGTGGGAGCCCCTCACCCGTGGGTGACCTGCCTTGAGGTCACCTCCCCGTCGGCGGGCACCATGCCCTCCGGGTGCTCTGACTGTGGCCCCCCCGGCGGTCTGGGCCCATCCTCGCTGTCTGTCCCACTGTGCTTCACAGAACGGGCCCACGGCTCAGGTCCGAGTTCTGAAACCCAGAGTAACTGGTTAGCTTGTTTTCCCAAATTTGCTGCCAGATCCGCTT